ATAAATAAATAAATAAAAGATGAAAATAAAGATATTCCCATACTTAAAAGGCCTCAGAAGGTTTACTGTTTAAAGACCACCTGGAAAACATCTTGGAGGAAGTACTTGAGCATAAAAAGAAATATATCCAGGAAAATACTATGAAATATGGGAAGAAAGGGAGAATATACATCATCAAGCTCTAAAATTTACTATTATCTAAATAAACAAAACAAAAATGCCGCCCACATAATATGTGACTAACTACTTCTCAATGTCCAGTTTCCTCTTCTTCCTTAGTAATAAAACCCTGGGTAATGTGCTCACCCACATTTCTCAGCTTCTCTTGCTGTCAGGCAGAATTATTTGATAACTTCATTCTGACTAATGAGACAAAGGCCAAAATGTTACGTGGGCTTTTAAAGGGAGCATGTGCAGAGATTATTAGAATTAATTGAAAAGAAGGAGCCAACCATATACTATCTGCAAGAGATACTTTAAATATAGATACAAACAGGTTAAAATAAATGGATGGAAAAGATATATCATAAAAACAATAAGCCTGGAACAGGTCTATTACTATCAAATAATATAGATTTCAAGAAAGAGTATTAAGATAAAGGGAGAGATTTCACAATGACAAAAAGTGTCAATTCGTCAGGAAGATATAACAATCATAATGTATGTATAGACTTAATGACAATGTTTCAAAATACATGAATAAAAATGGACAAAACTAAAGGGCAAAAGACAAAAACACAGTCACAGTTTTGAATAGACCTTTTTCAACAATTGAGAGCAAGTATAAAGATGATTTGAACAACACTACAAACCATCTTGACTAATTCATATTTATAGAGTACTACACTATGCCCAATAACTGTCAAATACACATTCCTTTTCACATATACAAAATTTGTTTACAAAGATAGACTGTATGTGGATCCACAGATGTCTCAAATTTAGAAGAATGGAAATCATACCCTAAATGATCCCAATGGAATGAAATTAGGTACCAGTAAAAATAAGATATTCACAAAAATTCCAAATATTTGAAAATTAAATAATACATTTCTAAATAATTCATTGATCAAAGAAGAAATTACAAGAGACATTTAGGAAATATTTTGAGGTAAATAATAATGCAGATATATAAGATTTTTTGAGATGCAGCTAGAAAGTACTTAAGAGAGAAATAGCTTTAAATGCTTACATTGAAAGAAGAAAGGGAATGGATCCCGTATTTCTGAAATCGTATTGAGTAGGAGTGGAGACAAATACCTATTTTGAAGATGACAGATTTAATTATCTTTAGGGGAATACAGCTCTTTTAAAAATTACCTTTAGAAGGCTATTTGATTATACAGTTATTTTTGTGATCTGTGTTAGAAACACCACAGTGCCTCCACTAGTCAGAGGAACTATCATATTCAAACACCATTAAGTAACTCTGGTTCCTTTCTCCTTTGACCTTTTACACGGATGGTAATCAACCCAATGTATTTCTTTTAGACAAGGTATACTTTTCCAATTTTATATGTCAGCAGTACCAAATCACAAGGCAATCAGCTGTAATCACCTGGAACTTATCACTGCATACCTGGACCAGTACAATTGCCTCCTAATTGGTTTAACTCTAATTTCTCCTCTGACTAGAGTATTGTCAGTTTAATCTTTCTTAACCACTCCTTTTCTCTTGAAACTCTGGTATTTATTAGGATGTAAATTCCTTATGGGCCTCAAAAATCAAGTCAAAACACTTATTAAAGATCCTTTATAACTCAGTCCTACCATAGCTATTAAACTCAATTTCCCACTATTACTCTCCAATTAGGCCTATTCTGAATTTCCTTCACACCTACTAAATGTGTGATTGCCTTTTTCCTTTGCTCATATTGTTCCCCTTACCTAGAAAGTCCTCCCTGCCTCCTTTACCAATTCCGTTCAATTCTATCAATTCAACAAGCAGTTAATGAAATCCTATTAAACATTAGCCACTAGAGGTAGGCAATAATAAATGCAAAGCTAAAAAAGGGCACCAACCTTACACTCAAGAATTTTATAATCTACACACCTTAAGTGTTAATTGAAATCCTACCTTTTCAATGAATCCTCCCCAGACTTTCCAATCCATGATGACCTTTCATTTTCTAATTCTTAAAGCACTCAATCTCTTCTCTACCACAGACTAAAGTTATATTATAGAATTTGAATATAAACTATTTTATTGTAATTTTTTGTTATTTCATAAGCTTTGTATCCTCAACTTATAAGTTCCTTGAGTATAAGACTATGTCTTTTAGCTCTTTTATATGCCCTCAAAATGCCATGTACACTGTAGATATTTTTAAAATACTTATATATTTTACTTTACCTCTTTTACTGATACATGATAAATCTAACTATACTGGTGTGCCAAGTATTTCTCTATTTAAAGTAAAAATAAACCATGGAATCACTGGATCTCTCAAGGCTGAAAACCAGTTTTGAACCTCTTAATAAATAACAAATAAGCCAATTATATCTTTCTCCTTTCTCATAGTCAATGTTTTTACTTTATCAGAACTACCAATTAATGCAATCATAGTGTCAATAAAACAAATACTCAATATAAAAAGAAAAACTCTTTTAACCATTGTTGAAGGTCTTTTCTTTAAAACCCAATCCAAAGTTCTCTTCAGTTCTTTCTATCATTAGTTATATCATTCTTCTGACTCCTAAAAAGTCTTTGGGAAGGTTTAATATAATTGTGATATGTTGTGGACACCCTGAATGAAGCAAGAGACTCCCAGTCCAAATTTGGTTTGGATGTTGAAGCTGATGATAGCACCACACACATTCTAATAGGGTATGAAAAGACTTATCACTCACATAACATTTTCTGGGACTAGCAAGCTAGGCCTCCCAAACAGGTCTGAAATGGCTTGGGAGGGCAGAAAAAGGAGACTGGCTTTGGGGTTTTATGGTGGTTAGGGGTGGGGCCGGGGCAAGAGTTCCTATACACGACTTTAACTTACCACTGGTGCCAAAGGAAGGGACATCTGGGCTTTCTTATCATCTTGACCAGTTGTGGGACAGAATGGGAAGAAAACAGGGTGAGGCTTAAAATATGCCAGTAGTCACACACCAAAATATGGAGTCAGACTCTTTATTAATACTTGATAACTCAATACAACTAATTTAAAAAATACAAAACACAAAGATATTGAGCAACATGCTTATATAATTTCATAAAATTTTAAATATCTTCATTTAAGTTATATAACTGATTGACAAGCAAATGCTGCATATAAAATATAAAGGTGAATTTTTTGTTGAATGCAGAAAACAAAATTTTAAATATTCTTCAAAAAAACTAAAGCAAAAAGAAATATTAAGAGTGTCACCATTAATACAACAATCCAATGTTCAGAAATTGGCTTTACACATTTAATTTCCTTCCATTAAAGATATTGGAATAACTGATAAAATTAGAATTTTACCTCTTGTTGTATTAGAAGAAAATGTCACATTTTATTCACTATCAGTAATATAAATTCTTGGAGATTATTAAAATATTACTCTTCATATTGCAAAAGTAGAGCCTAAGTGAAACACAGTAATTTTAAAAGCATTTTTAGTAGCTAAAGTACTAAGTACACCTCAGCACTAATTCTGCAGTTACTGCTAAAAGGTCTTCTGAAGGCCTGAAGGGGTTCTTGTTCTTCTCAAAGCACCTAAAATACTACCAGAATGAAACTTAGGTTCTGTGGAGAAGCAGGCTTAATATTTATAATAAAGATTAATGGTAAAAGTGTCAAGTTCGATTAAGATTAATAAATATTCTGCCTGGACATGGCTTGTAAGATCAAAACCAAAATAATGATAGCTAACACTGCAAATAAAAACAAAATTACATGATGTAGGCTTAATTTACATCAATATTTTAATAAATATAATCAAATAATATAACTATGATAACCTAGTATTGCTTTAATCAACAAAAGAAAGTAGTCTTAATATTTTAATGTAAATTTATGCCCTAGATGATTACAAAGCAGTAAAACAATTCAAGAAATTACTAATTAGTTCAAAAAAGGAAATTGTGTTGTATTTTGTAAAAAAGACAAAAAATATATTACAGAAGATGATGTTGAATTTTGATCCTATTCAATTGAAAATGGAAAACTAAAATCATCTTTTCCAGCTCCAAATGCATGAGTTGAAGAGTCTGATGAAAAAGAAAATGTAAAGGCATCTTCTCCTTCTGGTTTTCCAAATATGTTTCCTGAGGAAAATAAATATAAAATATCATGCTATCCAAGTTACATTATTTGTATAACATACTAAATTATAATATACTGCATACAATAAATAGAGTAACATTGAATTATTTACCTATTAAGCAGATATTTAACTATCGTCCTCTTATGTTGCAAAGTATTGTCCTTTGTACTGTGGAAGGTGAAGCAGGTTCAAACTTAAACCCTACTTCCAAGTAATTTGAACTCAAATATATCAAGAACTAGTACATACCCATAAGGTAGGAAGAGGGTTAAAACACCTTAAGTGGAGTAAATATCACAGAGGCACACAAACAGCTGTGCATGGGAAATATAAGGATAACAGGAATCAAATCAACTTGCCAGGAGAAATAATAAAGAGCTATTAAAAGGGAAATAATGGGGCCAGCCGAGCGGCACGTTGGTTAAGCGCTGGCTTGGGATGCCAGCTCTGAGCAGCAGGGCCCTGGTTCGGATCCCACATGGGGGCCAGTGACACTGCCCTCTACAGCTA